ACTGCCCTATCTCTCCAGCCCCACAATGCTGTTCCTGCAAGGCCCTAAAGGTATCCTACCCCCCACCCCCCATTTGAACTTGAATCTTCTCAAACTAGAATAATGGGGCTCCCCATTGAGGCCCCAACCTCCCCCCCCCCAGTCCAATCCCTGTTCCCTGGGAACAGAAGTCAAGCCTGGTCCAGCTGTCCATCTCCTGGGTATGATGTCTTAAGACTAAGACTGAAGACAGTCTTCCTGCCCACTCAACATCAAAAGGGGTCACTTTGCAAAGGTCACTTTGCAAAGGTCACTTTGCAAAGGTCACTTTGCAAAAAGCCCCGCAGAGCCAGAGCCTATCTGTCACTGAAGGTGGCCTGGGCTGGGCTGGAGACCTGTCAATCAAAGCTGCCCCCTCAGCAAGTCTGGAGGGGTCCCTTTAAGGCCTGGGCTCAAGAGCCAGCCTGGGAGAAAGCAGGGACCTCGAGTTTATTTTATTTGACATTTTTCAACGTCAGGACACTTCAGAGCCAAGGAGGAAACGAATCCCATCTGTTGCTGAGCTCCAGAGCACAGTTCAAGAGGACAGGCCGGGGAAGGGAGGCAGGCAGGGAGCAGGAAGACCGGGACACAGGAAGCAGGGAGCCACCTGGAGCCGACCCGCTCCCTTCAGCTCTTTCCAGATGGGCCTGGTGGCTCTAGTGCCCGTGGCCTGGGCTTAGGTGTCTGGGTAGCAGATCCACCCCCACTGCTGACAACATGACTCTGTCTGAGAAGGGCGCCCCCTGGGGGTGTGCGGTGTACATGTGCTCCTGCTTTTGCAGGACTGAGCAAAGAGCCAAGAGTAAACCCTGAGCACCACTGGATGAGACCTAAAACTAAAACTAAAAAAAAAAAAGCACCATCCCTGCCACTGTGCCAGTGTAAGTCATAAAAAGGGCCTGGTGTTTGCACGGAGGATGGAGGATGCAGCCCCAAATAGAAGTTGCCCCCGCAGAGAACAGAGCCCGAAGTGCCCTGATCCACTGTCAGCCCTCCTGCTGGCACTGTCATGGGGTGGGGGGGTGGGGTGCAGCAGTGGTCACTGTTGGTGGTCCAATGGTCCAAGGCTGGGACCTCCTGAGATCTGTCAGGACTCCATGCCCCCAGACAGAACTGGTGACACGGAGAGGTAACCCCGAGTACAAGCAGATGGGGTGGGGGGGGCAGAGGAGCCGAGGACCCCACACCCAGCTCCTGCACATGGTCCCTTGCTCCCTGCCCGCCCACCCAACCTGAGGGCCAGCCGGGGAAGGACAGATGGCTGCGCCGCGACTTATCTTCTGCCTTCGATTACATTCCAGACCTTGCTATTTTTGGAAAGCTAAATTCCTTTTCTCTTTTCAAGAGGTAAAAATGTGCCGAGCTGTCAGGCAGGGCAGCCGCCAGCCAGCTCGTGGTTGTCTCTGCTGACATGCTCCAGCGGTGACGCGGGGGAGGCTGTATCACCGATGTGCCAGGTTTGAAGAGGACCACTGACAACTTGAGAGTTTCCAGGGGAGGGTGACCCGCGCACCGGGACCCAGAAAAGTGAGCCATCGAAGAAAGCACCGGAATCGCTGGCACTTCTATTTTTGTTTTGTTTTGTTTTGTTTTTTTGTTTTGGGGCCATACACGGTGCTCAGGGCTTACTTCTGGCTCTGTACTCATGGGACCATACGGTGTGCCAGGGATTGAACAGGGTCAGAAAGAAAGCACTCTGCCTGCTGTACTATCTGTCCAGTCCATTGTTATTATTATTATTATTATTATTTTAATTTGGGCTAGAGCGATAGCATAGCAGGTAAGGCATTTGCCTTGGACGCAGCCGACCTGGGTTCGATTCCTCCGCCCCTCTCAGAGAGCCCGGCAAGCTACCGAGAGTATTCTGCCCACACGGCAAAACCTGGAAGCTCTCCTTGACGTACTCGATATGCCAAACACAGTAACAACAAATCTCACAATGGAGACATTACTGGGCCCGCTCAAGCAAATCGATGAACAACGGGAGGACAGTGCTACAGTGTATAGAGAAGAGAGTATCTGAGAGATCATCAACAACAAGTTGAACGAAGATTTATACCTCTATGTCTCTCAGGGGACAATGTGAAACAAGAGTGGTACTGATTCCATGTGAATATTTAGAAACTTTCCTCCAATTTTGTTCTATTGGAAATGGGCCTGAGAGATAGTACCTCAGACAAGGCATCTGCCTTGCGTGCAACGAAGCCAAGTTCGATCTCTGGCATCTCATATGGTCCCCTGAGCCCCGTCAGGAATGATTTCTAACCACAGAGCCAAGAGTAAGCCCTGAGCACCACCGGCCAATGAGACCTGAAACTAAAACTAATAAATAAATAAATAAATAAATAAAGGGCACAGTCCCTGCCACTGTGCCAGTGTAAGTCGTAAAAAGGGCCTGGTGTTTGCACGGAGGATGGAGGACGCCGCCCCAAATTGAAGCTGCCCTGGCAGAGAACAAAGCCCCAAGTGCCCTGATCCACTGTCAGCCCTCCTGCTGGCACTGTCACGGGGGTGGGGGATGGGGTGCAGCAGTGGTCATTGTCGGCTGCCACGGTGGTCCAGTGGTCCAAGGCTGGGACCTCCCAGAGGCAGAAGCAACCGTGCAGGGCAGCGACGGGGCGGGAGGGTGGGGTGCAAGAGGACAGAGTGTTGCCTGTGGATGGGGTGGGAAGCATGGCTGACCCACCCCTGCTGGGAACTGCCTCCCTCCCCCCCAAGCACCCCTCCTCTCCCGTTTTATCAATCAGAAGAACAATGATCTTGGGTAGGGCATTTTCTAAATTACAAAACCTCACTGGACCTAAAAGTCCAGAGGAATGAGAGGGCGGAGAGGAGCAGAACAGGGAAGCGAGGATGGGGGGGGAGGTTGGGGTGGTGGTGGGGAGTCTGCGGCAACCTCAGATGCTGTTTTCTAAGGGCCCAACCTGGTGCTTCGCCGTGCAAACACATACTTGAGAAGTGAATGCTTCTGTTAAAAATCGCCGGGATTAGAAGCGGGCTCCCTGTCTCTGACGTCCTAAGCCCGTTGGAGGGCGGGCGTGGCTCCAGAGCTGGCGGGGAAGTGGAGTGTGGAGAGTTGTTGCTAATTGCCGGCCGACCGCAAAAGCTGCATGTGAAATCCTGGAACCTGCGGCTGGCTGACTGGGGTGAATTTGGACGTGGCCAGGCCAAGCCTTTATTCTGTAGCCCCCTGTGAACTCCAGGTCTTGGGAATCCTGGGGTGGAGGGTGTGCAGGCAGGGCACAGGCCCCGTCACAGTCAGCTCTGCTCTTTCTGATCTGGGGCTCCCCCGTGCTTCTATCCGGAGGGAGAGGGTGGCAGTGGGTGTGCAAGTGAAAGGGCAACTTTCCTGGCATTGCAATCACTCCCACCCCCTCCACCGATACCCCCAAGATGGGCCGGCAGCTGCAGCATCCCAAGTGGTGCTCGGGTCTTATCATGCTCCCCGAAGGCCAGTGTGGGATACTCAGGAGGCAGGGGCCTTGGGCCCTCTTCAGAATGACACTAAGAGTAACAGGAGCAGTGATTGTGGTTCTAAGAGCAACAGTACTGCGCCAGAGACTTTCTGTACCTGAGCCCTGTTCACACTGCTAACTGCCCCGGGGCGCAGCTCTGCTCACTCAGCAGGCAAACTCTACAGAGGCATCAAGGAACTGTGTGCACTGGGAGTTCAGCCTCGCTGAGACCTTTTCAATACCGCTGCTTTCCAATTTCTTGCCACGATCGTTTGGCAGGCAGGGCAGATGCCTGCCCAGTGACCTCCCCTGTGGGCACTCCCCAGGGTTACCTCTCACCGCCTCAGAGAAGAGGCTGTGAAGGGTGGCTCGGCCAACACGCGCTCGCCATCCCACCCAGTACAGCCCTTTGAGCTTCTCTGCGGTTCCAGCTGCAGGAGGGCGGTGTCCTGTGAGGTGGGGTGACCCTGGGACAGCAGAGAAAGTAAACAGCCCCGCTGTGCGTCACTTGTTTTGCTCCAGATCTGCCTCATCCGCTGGACAGGCCCTGACCAGATCCCTCCAAGTTTCTCCCTAGGGGGCAGGAACAGCCTGGAGCTGGGGAGTATGGGGGTTACTCTGCACACTTTTCAAATCTGAGTTTTACGGGGAAAGGGAGCCTCTGAGCCACTGGCCCCTTGGTGGCCCCTTGGGGGGTTTGGGCAAGCCATGAGGGAGAAAGTAGAAGGAACCATCGACTGAGATGCAGCCCTGAGAAGATTCCAGAACCACTGCAGGCTCTGTTCTCAGAGCTTGGAGCACTTGGTCAGGCCCCTAAACCCCCAGCACCTTGCCAGGTGGGGGTGTTGGAAGGTGGTGTCATGACATGGCAATGCTCCGGGCTTGCGCCTGGTTCTACACTCAGGAATCACTCTGGCGGTGCTCGTGGGACCATACGGGATGCTGGGAAGGAACATGGGTCGGCCCTTCCTGCTGTTCTATCTCTCTGGCCCCAAACCCCTGCACCTTGTTCCCGTTACATCTCCCTCACTTGCCGGGCTCCAAGGGAGCGAGTGTAGGTGATGCCGCGGGAGGAACTGAATAGCCTGTAACAGGGACGAGAAAGGTTCACTGCTGCCGAGGGCAGCAGAGCGGGTGGAGCCCCGCGTCAGTTAGCAGGACTGACACTCGCTTTCTGTTTCACTGGCGCGGCCACGCACACGCTCTCATTCTTTCTCCTCAGTTGCTCGCGGGAGGGCAGGCCTGGTGCCATCCTCCGTGACAAACAGGGAGCACTCAACAAGCACTCCAGGATGTTATCCCAAGAGCCAAGGCCATTTCCCTGGGCCCTTCCCGCCCACGCCTTGCCAGCAGAGGCCTGGGTGGGTGGGGCGGACCACAGATTGACAGCGACAGAGACCAATAAGGGAGAGATACCTTCTCCGACCAGCCCAATCAGGTCCTCGCGCATCCATCCCGGTTCCCCATTCCCAGCCACACACCAGCGGGCGAAGGTGCGGCACTGGCAAGGGGCCTCGGCCTTACCCTGTCGTGATGTCGTCGTCCTCCGTCATGGTCTTGCCCATGAGGTCGCTGTCACTCATGTAGCCGGACTTGAGGTCCACCTCGTCCGAGTCCAGGGACTCGACCAGCTCCAGGCGGGAGATGTGGCTGAGCTTGCTGGGGCTGCGCATGGGCATGGTGTGCGAGTAGTGGGCGCGCTCGCCGTGCATGTACCAGGCGGGCGGCCCCTCGGAGCGGCAGCTGCCGCCCGCCGACGGCGCGTCCCCCGCCTGCAGCCGCGGGCTGGACTGGCCGTAGCGCCAGGAGAGCGGCGAGGAGCGGTTGGAGAGGCTGGACACGCTGCGGGGGTTGGCGTCGTCGCTGTCGTAGCAGGCCATCTCCAGGGAGCTGGGCAGAGAGCAGAGGGGCGCTGGTGGGCCGCGGGCATCGCCTCTCCACCTGCCCCCACGCACAGGCGCCTCGCGGGGGAGGGAGGGAGAGGGGGCGCAGTCAATGCCACATGTGCAAGCTCAGGTGGGCAAAGTGCAGGGCTACTGGGCACACTGAGCCCGAACATAACCAGGGGAGGAATCCTGCCCGGCCCTTTACTGGGTAGCCAGGTGGCAGTGGGGACCAGGGGAGCAGGGAGTGCTGGCGGCCTCAGGGTCTCTTCTACTACGGAGACTGACAACCACGCCGGTGCTAAGTAAGCGCGAAGGGTCCCATGCCTCCACACCCACCACCTGGAAGTAGGTGGCGAGGGGTTGCTGGCACTTCCAAGGCCCGGATGGGTCTCTCTGCTTGGACTGGGAGGGGCATCTTCCACCTCTTTTTTGTCAGAGAGCAGAGGATGAGCGCATTTCCCCTAGACACAGGGCCGTCTGGAGGAGTCCCAAAGCAACACAGGAAAAGCTTTGGGAACCTACAATGAGGCGGGTCTGGACATCAGTGGGGAGCAGAGAGGTCCTGACTGGACAGAGATATTCGTAGAGGATGGACAGAGGGTGAAGGCAAGACCTCAGGGTTTCAAGCTGAGGCCCAGCTGGGCCAGCGAGGGAGCATGTCGGGCTCATGCTCAAGGGCTTGGCTCCGGGAGCCTGGGGGGCTCGGAGCGGCCTCTGGCCCTCAAGGCTAGGGCAGCAGCAGAGGTCACAGTGGGGATGTGCTTGGACACGTGCGTGGCCTGCATGCGCTTCGAACACAGACCCCCGGAACCCCCAGCCCAGCAGCTGGGACACATCCAACCACAAAGGTGGGGGTCTGGGGTTTGGCCCACAGAAGTCAGCCCGGCTTGAGTAAGGAGCTGGCAGGAGTTTCAAGCTAGGCGTGAGTTTCAGGAAGTTGAGGTGCCTCATCTCGAGGCACCCGGGGGAGTAGGACTGGACCCGGATTCTTATTTTTATAAAGTTGCCCGAGACCAGGACAGTGCTCCCTGAAATGGTCTCTGATGACCCTGAGAAAAGAGGGTTTCGGTTTTGGTGTGTCTCGGTCCTGAGATGTTGGGGGGTGTGGGGGGTGGGGTGAGGTGGCCGACAAACTCCCTGAAGGGTCCTGCTCCCCACCCAGCCTCTCCCTTCTGGCCTTCCTCTGTGTCCCTGACTACCACTCACGGGGACCCTCCAAGTCAATGCAAGGCCCCCCAGAGGCGGAGGCGGCAGTGCAGGGCAGCCCGGCCCCGCTCTCTGCCCAGCCTCAGCACCTTGCACAGGCCGATGTTCGAGAACAAACCAGAGACCCAATCCTGAGCAGCGAGGGGCAGAGAAGCTCTCGTTCAATATGGGGGCGCGGCGGGTAGTGGCAGGAAGCGCGGGCCGGAAGAGACAAGGCAATGAGCAGGAGGAAGGGGCGAGAAGGCTCTGAGCATCGAGGAAAAGCCCAAGTCCAGGACAGCCGGTCAGTACCACGGGGAAGAAATGAATGTGACACGGGGACCGGAGCGAGCGACCAGACTCAGGGTTCGAACCTAGGGCCTCATACGTGCCAGGCAAGTGCCCGGCGACAGGGTTTTCCAATACCACCCACAATATTGGTGCCTCTTCCTCTCTCGCTGCTTTGGTTTGTCCCCCAAACGCCTCTCCGGGCTGCCCCAAGCTCCTGGCCCTGCCTCTCTCTGGGGAGGGATTTGGGAGAGGAGGGTCCCAGGGCCAAAAGGAGGGTTTCATTTCCTCTCCAGCCCCAGCCTCCCGGCCTGGATCCTGCTCTCTGGGGAAGCAAGCCTGTGGAAATAGAGAAGCAGGCCAGGAAGCTCAATTTCGAAGAGGAACTGGTAGAGTCAGCTGCTCAGGCCCAGAGGAGAAGGCACCCGCTAGGGACGTGGGGCTGTGAGGGTGAGGGCCAGCGTGCTCAGGGCCAGCTGGCTGGACACAGAAGCCCCTCTGATGGGCAGGGGCTGGGTGGCAGGTGAGTGAGGCCCAGCCGAGGCCCCCGCCTGGAATGACTCTTTGCGGCCCATTCCCAGGATGAAGGATGCGAACCTCTGCGGGCAGTCAGAGCTGGAGGCGGGGACCCCGGGGTGTGGCGTGGGGCTTGGGCGGGAGCCACAACACGGGGAGAACAGAGGTTCCGCCCTGAAATCAGAGTTGGAGCCACAGTGGTGCAGGCCACGGGAAAAGTGGCTTGAGATCAGGACGAACACATCGCTGGGGCTCTCCGTTCCTTTCCCCCGGGGAAGATGGAAACAGGCATATTCCTCGCACCCTAAATTCTCAGGAACAAGACTCAGGCGGCCCCTCCCCCTGAGCAAAAACACACAGCGCCTGTCAGGGTCCCCCTGACGGGCTCCCCGTGTCCTGATTCACGGGGGTGGGGTGCGGGCAGTTGGAGTCAGTGGCCCAGAGAGGCTGGGCATGACGCCGGCCCTTCCCCGTGGGTGAGTCATTTGGGGTGTGACCCTCTCAGCTCTGGCACAGGGCTGGGGGTGACCTGGGGCTGAGCTGTTGCAGCAGCTCCCCTGCTTGGGGTGGGAGGAGGACGGTCCCTGAAGTCATGAGGCCCACTGGCCACTCCCTGTCCAACCACTCAGGGCTTGATGAAGACACGAGGGGGCATCGAGAAACTCCCCCCACCCCCCACACACAGCCTGGTCCTCAGATTCCTGGGTCACAGCTCCTTCCAGAGCTGGGGTGTACAGAGGGAACCCCAGAGAGGGGGCTCTGATATGGACAACGAGTGGAACAAGAGGGAGGAGGAGAGGACGGAGGTGGAAGGAGGGTCTGAAGTAGGAGGACCAGGGCCACTAGGGAAGGACCATCATGGCCACACGCAGTGGCCTGCCCCCACTGTCAGGTAATGAGCTCCCTGTAAGCAGCGGTATGTAAGTCCAAACATGGGCTAAGAGGCCTTTCCTGTGTCCCAGCTGCTCTGCTTCTCCAAACCCAGATGCTGCTTCCTGCCCTCCCTCCGCCCTGCCCCGCACCCCCGAGGATTTCCCAATCCTGGCTGTCTGCACCCAGTCCCTCTCCCCTCTGTCCCCCCTGGAGCTGATGGCATGAGCTCATCTGTGCAGCTTGGGGGGATGGGGGTGGGGTTGGCTGAGTCAGAGCAGAGACCAGGGCCAGCAGGCCGCTCGCTCGGGAAGCCATGCCGCAGGAGGGGGCATGACCCACACAGCTGGAGGCTGCGGGGGGCTCTTCCGGGAGGGGTGCCCCACGTGGCCTGCACCTGGGTGGCACTCTGTGGGCCCCGGAGTGCGCCTGCGCCTGGTGGGATGGCACAAGGGCACCTCCCCAGAGAAGGGTGAGGAGATGCGGGGCTGGGAGCCTCGAATTCCGAGGGTCGGTGAGTCGGAGAGTTGGAGAGTCGGGCGTGGGATGCAGGCGTTGGGCCAGGGAACCTGGGAGCTCTCAGGAGGGGGCATGAAGGTGCCACACTGCACCTGGAGTCTTTTGTCCCCGGCTGGGGGAAGGGTCCTCTCCCTGTCACCCCGTACTTACCTGTGCGCCACCTGGGAGCCACGGAGGCTGGACATGGTCTCCTCCAGGTTCTGCCGAAGATCCAGAACATTCTGCACTGTCCTCTTTCTCTGGGACTCGGGGTCTAGAGGGAAAAGAAAGGGGGGTGGTGAGTGCGGCTGACTGCTGGGAGCCGGGGGACCTGCCCAGGTGACCGGAACATGCTCCCAGGTCCCCAGAGTCTGTCCTGTACCCCAACTTTGTTTGGGGAGACCCTGTTTGGGTTTCCGGGCATCTGCCTGAGCCCACACGTCCAGTAGAGGCACAGAAACATCCCATGGGCTCTTGGCAGGGGGATGCCCCTCCCGCGGAATGTCTGCCCGGTCTATTGTGTGGACACCCTTGCCTTGGCCACCAGCCACAGCACGAGGGAAGAGGCCAACACCTGGGGAGAAGCTGGGCTGAACACACCACACCCCCAAACCCAAGCCCGAGCGGCCTCCCCCGAGGGAGGCCCCAACAGCGCGGGGGAGGACAGAGCTGCCCTTCTCTGAGGATAGACTGAGTCCTGGACAGGGAGTCAGCCTCGAGGTAAAGGGGGTGCAGGGTGCCCCCAATAACCCTCAATGTTTTGAGATCCTTTTACCTCACTCAAGATCCAGGTGGTGAGTAACCAGGAGTAGGAGGACATGAGCAGTGAATGCAGATGCACCCTTCTCCTTTCCCACAGGGAAGGGACACCCTGGGGCCCTCCAAGGCACCCTGGGGCCCTCAGAAGCATCTTGGGACCCCCAGAGGCACCCTGGGGCCCTCAGAGAGGAGGGCCACATGTGGGGGTTCTGGGGGGGCCTAGAACTCAGATTACTCAAGCATCCAGAACCCCCAAAAGCCTTCTGTTTCCTCGTTCTCCCCCCTTCCCGCGAGCCAGGCCACAGCTAAGCTGGGTTGAGGGCTGAGGGCCCTCAGAGGATGGGGAAGGGGGGCGCTCTGAGGGTCGAGTCTGTCCAGCACTGGCGTCAACCCACTGGCTGACAGACTGATTTATCCTGGCGTTTGTCACCTCTGAGTTCCCCTGGCTGTGACAGCGGCCCTGGCATGCACACAGGGCTAGAACGGATGATGTATTTCTCGAGCCTGGTTAGTTCTCAAATGTCCACATAAGGCCCAGGAGTGCGGTGCCAAGATGTGGGTGTCTGGGCTGGGCAATGCTTGGCAGAAATGAGGGGCAAGGCATGTGCACCTCGGGGTAGTGGTGAGCAGAGCCTACCCCCTCTGGGAAAGGGGCCCAGAGTCACCCAGAGATTTCTCGGGGACCGCCCTTCCTGCGTCAGCCAGGGTGTGGCGCTGTGGTCCAGCTTCTCAGCAGCTCAGGTGTGTGGGGAAGAAACCTATTCCTCTGCCTGTCAGCTGGCATCTCCGTGCCACGGCACCCGGCATGGTGACAACACACAGCAGGTGTGCAGTGGACACTCGGGATGCCTGGGAAGGACCGTAATTTAAAATAGGGCCACAGGGGCTGGAGCAATAGCACCGCGGGTAGGGTGTTTGCCTTGCACGTGGTCGACCCGGGTTCTAGGCCCAGCATCCCATATGGTCCCCTGAGCACTGCCAGGGGTAATTCCTGAGTGCAGAACCAGAATTAACCCCTGTGCATCGCCAGGTGTGACCCAAAAAGCAAAATAAATAAAACTTTTTTAAAAATAAAATAAAATAGGGCCACATCTGGAGATTCCAGAGGGTCAGAGAGATAGGAGAGCAGCCAGGGCCTAGCACGCAGTTGACCCAGGTTCGACCCCCAGCATCCCATATGGCGCCCAGAGCCTGCCAGGAGTAATCCCTGAGCACAGAGCCAGGAGCACACTCTGAGCACAGTTGGGTGTGACCTGAAAACAAACCAAGCAAAAAATCAATGCAGGGGGCCTCAGGATGTGGCAGAAGTGGCAGAGCAGATGCTGTATATACGAACAGCCCCCAAACCACAAGCACCCCAGAACTACGGGATGTGGCCGCAGTCACCAGAGGAAGACAATGGCCACGTGGCCGACTGAACATGTCCTTGTCAGCTGCCAAGGTTGGTTTTGTGAGAGCAGTGCTGGGGATTGAACCCAGGTCTCAGGCACACACTTTACCATAGTGTCATGCCTGGCCTAGGAAGATGCCCTTTGTCTTAAGAAAACTACTGACCCTGTCCGTGGCGAGCGAGCTATGGTCACTCCCTGGACTCCAGACCTGAGACAAAGCTCTGGGCTTCAGGCAGTGGTCTCAGAGCTCCAGAAATGGCACAAAAGAGCCATTTCTCTCCTCTCGGTCAATGCTCAGCGCCCTCTTGCCCCCACCTCTCCCCTCTTCGACCCGTCACCCCTCCACCCCATTTCTGAGTCAGGGGAATGGGAAGGGTGACCCCAAGTCTCCTAGACGTGCTAACACTCAGAGCCACAAACATCCCTGGAAGTGACTCCTGCTAAGTCAGTCTGGGGGAGGAGGACAGACTGGCTTGAGGGCACAGGGAGAACAGAAACTAGCTTGGTGGCCCCCCTATGGGGCCAGTCGGGGCAGTTTTATTTTCTGCAGGGACCAGGATCTGCTCTTTGCTCCTTGGTCTAGAGGGCCTGCAGTCGGACACGCTGAATCTCTCTGCAGTGCCCCCTGGTGGTCGCCTCGAGTACTCCACACTGCATCTGGACAAGACTACCTCAGTTCGGGTGGGCTGTAGGGGGCATGGAGGGTGGGCGGACAGACACATTCTGGGCGGAGAGTAGTGGCTAGGGAAGAGAGGACTGATATGCACATTAGAAGGATCTCCACAGAGCAGGACGCTGAACTTTGCCGAGGCTGGGGGGGCAAGGGGACGTTCACATCCATGATCCTGAAGGTAAATCCCAAGTCCTGTCTAGCTTTATCACAGCAGTGAGGGGCCACCGGACCACCAAGGGCTAAAAGCAGCCTTGCACTATATGGCATCGCCCCAGAGCACCACTCCCTGTGGTCCCCAGAACAAAGTATATAAGTTGCATTTGCAAAAGAACGACCACACCCCCTCCCCATACACACATATACTCTTACCCACTTCTAACCTTTGTCCCATCACAGCCCTGATCCTCAACACACCTCTAAGCATCCTCCATCCTGAATGTCTCTCATGAGGACCAGAGGTGGCAAGAAGGTGTTTGAGGCACATGTCACGCTCTCTTGGGGCCCCCTCTGATTGGTCAGATGCCTGGGCTTGAGGGTGCAGGCCTAGGGGCACCCAGACACAGCAGATGGGGCTGGAGCAATAGCACAGTGGGTCAGACACCTGTTGTGTGGTTGTGTGGCCAACCCGGGTTTGATTCCAGCACCCCATGGTTCCCTGAGCCCCGCCAGGAGTAATCCCTGAGCACTGCTGGGTATGGCCCCCCAAACAAACAAAAACCAGACACGGGCTGGGGGAGCCTGGTGAGCAGCTCAGGAGGGGCTCCGTGAGCACATCAGCCCTGATGAATTCTCCTACAAACTGAAATATTTTTATGAGTGAAGTGTGTATATGAGTGAGTGAGTATGTGTGTCTGTGTGTGTCTGTGTGTGTGTGCATATGCGATGTGCTCGAACCCAGGGCTTACACATACAAGGCATGTGCTCTACTGCTGAGCCACATCCCCAGTCCCACACAATTGTAAAAATTGGGTCTAGAGGAATAGTGCTGGGCTTCAACGGCCTGCCTGGCAAGCATCTGGTCACACGTTCAAACCCCTGGTGTCCCACATGCACCGAGTGAGGTCTAGGCAGCTGTGCTGTCTGTGATCCCTGATGCTACAAGTGATTGCTCTCCCTACCACAGCCGTGTGTGTGTGTGTGTGTGTGTGAGAGAGAGAGAGAGAGAGAGAGGGGGAGAGAGAGAGAGAGGGAGAGAGAGAGAGAGAGAGTGCACTGCCAAGAGATGCCACTTCCAACCAGCAGCACAAGTCAGAAGGAGTACGGGCAGCAGAGTGTGGGAAGACGACTGGGGGGGGTACATGTGTGATGTGGCTACCCCCACAAGCGCCACAGCCATTCATGCTCCCCTAACAAGGATCGAGGCCCCTCGAGCATGACTGCAAGCACCCGAGCACTGCCGTGTGAGCAACAATATGGCAACAACAGCAACAATGAGAGGGGAGGGAGGGAGTAAAAAAAGAAAATAGCGCTGGGGTGACAGCTCAACCGCCCTGAGCACCACCAAGTGTGACTCCAATCCCAAAGTAAATACATTTAACCCCCCCCCCCCAATATCATATAAAAAGAACAGCTGGGCCTGGGCATGCGGCTCAGGCCGAGGCTAAGAGTTGAAGGCCCATCAGCTCCCCACACCCAGAGTGACCCAGAGGCAGTGTGCGGTGTGACACAGCTGCAGAGCCCAAACAACTCCAGAAGGGGAAATTCTTTCAACAAGAGGGCTGGCCGGGGTGGGAGGCGTGTGGGTGTGAGGTCCAGGGTACCCTCCTCGGGGCCGCTGATGCTGCCACTGGCAGTCATGTTCTTTGGGACCAGAGAGTTCAACAGGCCAAGCACAGGTTGTGATCAATCCCAGCTCCACAAGCAGCTCTGCACGGCCGGACCAAGCCCCACAGCCTCGGGGGCACACCGAAGGCCGAGTAATGCAGCCAGGGGCCCTAGGCCCAAGAACACCACCAGGGAGGTTCCCTCCAAAACGGCTGGACACAAGCTACGGTCCCATCAGGAAGGGGAAATGCTAACCTAGCCACAAAGACCAGCCTCAGGGGGTCACTCCTGGCGGTTTCTCGATGCCCTGAGTACTCCTGTGGGTGGCATATACTCAGGTACTACACTTGATCTTGGCCAAAAGGCCGAGAAGCGATGAGGCAGGACTCTGGTGGGACGCTGTCCTGTCTGTATGCAGATGGGAAGGGGCTGGCCTGCAGTTGGGAAAGGGAGGGAGGGAAGGAGGGAGGGAAGGGAGGAAGGAAGGACAGATCGATGTAAGGGAGGGAGGGATAGAGGGAGGGAGGGAGGGAGGGAAGGAAGGAAGGAAGGAAGGAAGGAAGGAAGGAAGGGAGGGACAGATCAATGGAAGGGAAGGAAAGGGAAGGGAAGGGAGGAAGGAAGAGAAGGGAGGAAGGAAGGACAGACCGATGGGAGGGAGGGAGGGAGGGAGGGAGGGAGGGAGGA